ACACATGGAGATTCAAGAGACAAAGCTGATCCAACGTGTAGAGACACTGCAGTTCTGTAGTCGCTCTTGTTGATTAACAAGGGAGGCCCAGAGCTGGTGACCAAGTGTTGATCCCAAAGCTCGGGGGAGGGGCACAGTCAAGCCGCAAATAACCAGTCAGAGGCGTGAGCAAGGAGAGCTGGCATCTCCAATGGCCCAGAGGCTGGTCTAGCATTTTGAGATCAACAAATGGACATTTCCTTCTAGCTTTACTGATCAAGAAAAGGGAAACAGAAATAAATGACCCATATTAGGAATGAAAAAGGGTCACCGCCCAGTCTGTGGACATCAAAAGGACAGTAGGAACAATGCGGCCGGCCGTGGTGGCGCACGCCTTAAGCCCAGCACTCGGAGGCAGAGGCAGGAGGAGCTCTGTGAGATCCAGGCCAGCCTGGTCTACATGATGAGCTACAGGCCAGCTTGGGAGACCCTGCCTCAAAATAACAAGAAAAAACAAAGCCAACGTAAACAGCTCACATGGGTACACCCACAGCACCAAAGAAAGCTGAATAACGGAAAATTATAAACTTTATAACTTTATAACACAAGAGAAACAGGAGCTCAGACTAGCCTTCTAGCAGTTGAGGAGATTAAATTCTTAACTAAAAATTCTTGCCAGAAAGAAAATGCCAATTCCAAATGGCTCCATGACCAGATTCTCAGTCTATATGGGAGAAAGTGCACTAGCCTCACCATGCTTGAGAGGAAAGAGTTCAGGACCTCCCCCCCACGTCATAAAATGAGTATCCCCGAGCTCAAGGTGCAGTCGCAGCAAGAGAGAAAAATCTCAGTTCTGTGCTTTACAAGCAGAGATATAAAAGTTGGCAAAAATTTGCAACCGGAAGGCTGGGTAGATAGCTCAGTAGGTAAACTGCTTGTAGAGGGAGCATAAGGACCTGAGTTCAGATCTCCAGTACCCATGTAAAAAGCTGGGTGTGGCTACATGTGCCTGTAACTCCAGAACTCAGGAAGCAGAGAGCAGAGCATCCCCAGAGCTCGCTGGTCAGCCAGCCTAACCAGTTGGTGAGCTCTGGGTTCAGTGACAGCTGGTCTCAAAGGGAAGTTGAAAAGGAACGGAGAAGGACACCTGACATCAACCTCTGCCATCCACATGTGCATGTGTGCCTGTACACATGTGTGCACACACATGAACACACAAATGCATCCATACACACTTTCTCTCTCTCACACAAAAATTGATAAATTGAGTCCAGCAATATATAAAATAGTAGAGCTTCATGGCTAAGTGAGTGTATGTCTGGAATGTTAGTTCGGCTTAGCAGGAAACAAGGATTCACTGTGTCTCATATTAATAAGCAAAAGGAAACAGACCTGTGGTCATTTCAATAGATGCAAAAGGCAAGTGGCAGAACTCACCATCTGCTCATTTAAGATAAAAAATCAACTCCCAAGAAGGTGGGGGGAGCAAAGTGGGGCTTAGAGCATGTTTTACGGTGGGAGACAGAGGGCCTTCTTCCTAATCTGAGGACAGCGGCTGCACCCACCACCTCCTCCCCTGCAGGGCAGTGTGGTAGGAGAAGTCAGTGGGGCTTAGAGCATGTTTTACGGTGGGAGACAGAGGGCCTTCTTCCTAAGCTGAGGACAGCGGCTGCACCCACCACCTCCTCCCCTGCAGGGCAGTGTGTTAGGAGAAGTCGTGAGGGGCAGATGGGGAGGGAAGACACACGTCTGCTGTCCGTAGTCAACCGTGTACAAAAAAATCCCAAGGAATGTACAAAAAGGGTACTAGAAGTTGTAAGTGAATCTGGCCAAGTGACAGGAGGACGGGATCAGTGCACAAAATGAACTGTACTTAGTAATCAAGAGCTGGAGACAGCTGGTTGTGGTGGCGCCTGCCTTTAATTCCAGCACTCAAGAGGTAGAGGCAGGCGCACAGACTGAGACCCATCTGAAAAAAAATGGAGATAAATAAGCAAACTACCCTAAAACACTTCAAAGGGGAATACCAGATTTCCTAAAAATATGAATAGGATCTATATACTAAAAAATGACCAAATATTCCTGGAAGAGATTAAAAGAGTGAAAAGATAGTCCACGTTCATGGACCCAAAGACCTGGTGGTGTTCAGTGTCTGACTGTGGATCTAATGACATCTCAGTCAAAACCCCAACAGGCTTTTCTGTCAAAATCAATGGGCCGATTCTAAAATCTCAGGGGAACTGGAGAGGACCTGGGGTGGACCCGTGGATGGGTGAAAGGCCCACCTCTACAGGCCTCCACTGACACCAGGCGTCAGGCCCAAACATTCCATAACCTCCCAAAACAGCGCCACCAGCTGGGGACCAAGCATCCAAACACACAAGGCTGGGGGACATTTCACACTCAGACAGGAACACGGGAGCACATCTGCGTGGCTCTAAGCTGAGCAAAGACTCAATAGGGAGGCTCCCTGGAGAAAAGGGTGCTGTGGCTTTCACAGACAGTTAAGGATTCAGTTCATAAACACGATGAAGATAAGAAAATGAAAAGCTGCGGCTCTGGAGGGGAGAAGGCTTGCAATAATTAAGGACATATTTGACACCCAGAGTGTACAAAGAACAGGTAGTATAAAAAGACCACAAGCAACCTGATTTAAGAAAAATAGGCAGAGGACTTGAGCTGATATGTCACCAAAGAAGCAGGAGAAGATGTCCACAGTGTCGGTCACTAGTGGGTGACACCTGCTGTGGCTCTCTACGGAAAGTCAGCCCATGCATGTGTCGACATTTGATGTGACTCTCAGCCGTCGGGTCTTATGGCTTGGGTGTGAGATGTTTCCACGTGTGGCTTGGGTGAGATGTCCCCATGGACTCCTGTGTTTGGGGTTGTGGAACCTTTTCCGGGAGGCCCAAGCTGGAGGAAGTAGCTCTCTAAGGGGCAGGCCTTGAGGGTTATAATCTGACCCCACTTCCGGTTGCCCCTCTGCCTTGGGGTTCACCAGGATGTAAGCAGCAGCTTCAAGCTCCTGCAGGCACAGCTGAGGGCACTTCCACCGCTGGCCCTCCCCCGCTGTGATGGATGGCACCCTCAACCCCAAGCTGAGATAGACCCTGCCTCCCTAAGCTGTTTCTTATTGGGTATTTGGTGACAGCGGTGAGAATCAGCTACCACAGTGGGTGGGACAACAACAATACCTCTGTGAGAAGCCCAAGCCCAACAGCCGCCATCAAGGTGAGCATGCCGAGCTCTATCTTGCCAAGAGACTCAGAAACATTTGCTCAACAGAGGCTGACTGCAGCTGTTCACAACAGCCAGATTTGCTGTCAGGCA